TCCCGCAGTCAGGTCTGGAGATGCCAACCTGCCGCTGCGTCTCTGCCTTGGCGCCGCGAGTCTGGTCAGGCCTTAGCATCCTAAACTGGGAAGAATTCCATAAAGCTCTAGAAACCCAATTTTGGGAGCTAAATAATACTCAGAATTTTTTTTTTCTCTTTCTCCTTAATACAAACAAACAAAACCCCTGCATTGCAGCAATTGCTGAATCGCCTGTAACACAGTCCTGGTGATTAATCACTGCTCTGGTGAAACAGTGAGCAAATGGAACCGAAAAGGACTTCTTTTTTTTCTTTTTCTTTTTTTTTTCTTTTTTTTTCTTTTTTTTGTCTTTTTTGTTAGACTACATCTCACTTTTTTGCTTTTTTTTTCACTTCATTTACAGCTCAAAATGTTTCCTGATGGCATCGCTGCGAGCCTGGTGCTGGGAGGAGGGCTCCGCGCTGGGAGGCGACGGAGCTCCCGGAGGTGCCGGCACTGCTGGAGATACGTCCCTGCTGTCACCTCCTGCCTGGGCCTGGGGGGTCTCTGGGTTTTTCCTGTGCTTTGCCACATGCCCTTTGATTTGCAGAGCGTGTGCCGTTCGTGGTTATAGCAGATCTCTGCATCTTGCAGTCAGCTGCCTGGGGAACCCATCTGGACGGTCTTCAGCTATGGGAGAAATTAGTTGTGCCCTTTGTATTTGCTCATCTGACATGCAGCTTTTTTGTTTACTTTTTTTTTTTTTTTTAAGTAATTGCTGTTTTGATTGTTTTCAGCACAATTCTAGTACTGTGAAGATGATGATCCAGGGGCCAGAGCACTGTCCCTCCTGTACTCCATAACCTTTTATTATTTTATTGTTCCTCTTTTTGGTCTGGCAGCCCCATCTCGGCAGCATCGGCTCTGCCTGTCCGTCAGCACGGATAAGCGACAGTCCTGTGGGGGGAAAACCCAAACCGTGATCCTGTCAGTCAGGCCTGCGGTAGACTCGGGAAGCGTAAGGGAGCTGAGCCGGGATTGCCAGCGTAACGTGGATCCTGACCTTGGCGGCCGCGCCTTTGCGAGCGAGATAGAAAAGTGTTTTCCCATCGTAGCTGTGGTGGTTATTATTATTTTCTAGGGGGTTATCAGACTATGACCGGGACTCGTAGGCCAGAGAATAAAACCCTGGGGAGGCTCGTATTGCTTCTGCTCGTCCTTTGCCGTATTTGACAAAGCCCGCGGGGTGCCAGGATGCTCTTTGACCGCAAGCACACGCGTGTGCTGTGCCAGCACTGGTGAACCCCCCTCGGGGAGCTGCCAGAGAGGGGGGAGAGGTGCTCTCGGATCTCTGGCAACTTGCAGGTGAAGGGGAAAAACCTTTTAACGATGAGCAGGGTGAGGCTGATGCAGGATTAAAAACTTCCTGACGTTGAGGGCTCGTGATGTCATTTTGTACGTGTGCCGTCCCATTCCCAACAAGGCCATTGCTGTACTGGTGTGGCAGAGAGGCCTGAAGAGGAGCTGATGGGCATGAAAGCGTTCTTCTCCCACCGCGTCGGCTGGTTTGACAGAAGATACCTCTCCCTCCAAACGCTGCGTTGTGACTGTGATTTCACTTTCCTCCAAAGCAATTGATTTTCTCCCTGGGACTCTGATGACAGTTGCTGTCTCTCCTTGCTGCTGCCACTATTTTTGCTGCGCAGGGACCCCCAACGCTGAGCCGTGACTCCGGGGAGGTCGGTTCGCTGCTGCAGCAGGAGTTCAGATTTGCAACGTCGCATTCACTTCTCTTTTTCTCTCTTTCCTTTTCTTTCTTCTTCTGCAGAACACAAGTGCCCGGTGGACCAGAGGGAGCAGTTAGAAGAAACCCTGCCTCTGATTTTGGGCCTGATACTGGGGTTGGTTATCGTGATAACCCTCTGCGTTTACCATATCCACCACAAGCTGACAGCCAACCAAGTGCAAATTCCTCGCGACAGATCTCAGTACAAACATATGGGATAGGGGACAGGATCGAGCAGCCCAAATATTTATCAGGTAGAAAAAGCAAAAGCACTTTTTTCTAAGGGCGAGGAAAGGTTAAGGGGCGGAGGGGGGGCAAAAGACGGTATTCACACCACCTGATCGTGGGTATTTTGTGGGGATACACACGTTGAGGTTGGGCTTTGATGCAGGCAGTGCAGAGACATTGCTGTCTCTGCAAGAGCCTCGGAGCAGCCGGTTGTAGGCGGCTGGGGCAGTAGGTGGTATGAATACCTTCCTAAGCCGCTGGGCCCGTCATCTGGAAACAGAAATGCTTCACTTATCAAAGTTTAACACTGGGGGCAAAATTAGCTTGTTATTTAAATTATTTTCCTTCCCCCCCCCCACCCTGGGACTCTTAGGTCCCCAGCACGCCGCTCTTGGCTGCGTTCGGTCCTCTCCATTCACGGCTGTGCAGGGAGCGGGGCTGGGGGACAGAGCCATTGCACAGACTTCACTAAAGGTCCTCTGCAGAAGGGACTCGGGCCACATCCCTGGAGTTTGCACTCATGTTAAGGAAAGCATGAAGGCAAGACAGGTGTGTTTTGAAAAACTAAAATAAGGGCCAGAACCTCAAGCTGGTATAAACTGGAGTAACTCCAGCACAGCAGATCGCAGCCAGCTGAGGAGCTGACCCCGCACTCGAGGCTGAGCGAGGAAAGTTTGTTTTTGCTTCTTGAGCCACATCTGAACTAAACTTTAAAAAAAAAAAAAAATAATAGAGTACTGATACACCAATTATAAAGTGCCATGCTACTGCAAGTCAACTGAGAAATGCTTCTGGCTGGACATCCTGCACGTATTGTGATTGTTGTTGAGATGTTACATTGCTACCTGCAACTGGTATTTTCACAATGAAACAAAACAAAAAAAGAAAACAGAAATGGTAAAGTTACTATGCAGATTCTTCAGGTGTAATCTAATGTAACAGGAAAAAAAATGAAACCCTTAAAATCTGTCCTTAAATGTAGACCATTTTTAAAATTAATTAAAACATGTACATATATAATACATGATTTGCCGCCTTATTTTGAAATGATAAAATGCTTTTTACTAACTGTATGATATCTAGTGGAATTGGTGCACAAATACACAGTCTGAATGGATGTTAAATGTAGGATTTATTCTAGCGGAATTTTGGTGCAGATGGTTTGGCGAAGACATGATGGTGGCTCAGTGTTCTGTGATTTGTTGGCTATTTCTAATTTTTTTTTAATCTCTCGGCTATTTCTTATGTGTTTTGTGGGGAATGGCACGTTTCACTCTGGTCCTGTCTGGTTCCCACTGAAACCTTGGACTTCCCTTGGCTCCGGTGTTACCACAACAAGACAGTTTGCTCTTCTTGAACTGATTTGATCCAAACAGGGACTCGCACAAACTGTCCCCCTTCAGTTTAAAACGGAATAATAGGCCAAGAAAAATAGGAATTTCAGTGTTGGGAAGTGGAAGAGGAAAAACTTAACAGCTTTTTAATGCTGCAGCCTTCTCCAAAATTGATGAGTTGTTCTTGTCAAAGGTGAAAACCAAGGTGGATGCAGCAAGAGCCTTCCTTTAGTCCTGTCTCATCGTCCTGGTCTCATTTCTATGTTAAGTTTGCCTTTTTGTTTTCTCATTTGGATGTAAGAAGCAAAATTATGGCACTAATGATGCTTATGGCTTTGCCCTTTTCTTTTAAAACTCCAGCGAAAGTGTCCTGGGCAGGCTTTAGGCTGACCAAGTGCCACCGCACTGCTGATTATTATTTTAAAAAAAAAAAAAAAGGTTCTTTTAGAGACAGCCAGAAAAAGCCATAGGTAGCAGGAGGGTGAATAAAAGGATTAAAGGTTCCTCCTTAATAGAGAGGGGCCACAGTTATCGGCTTTGTCCTGCCTGGCTCTTGCCTGCCCTCCAGCCGAAAGGCTCTCCCAGCCAGCTCCCATCAGCCTGGAGCATCTGCTCCTGTATTTGACATCCAAAAAATAAACTAAAAAAGGAAGCAAACAGCTGAACTACTGATATCAGAGGAGCCCCTCTGTTGTCATTTGTCTTCTTCACGGCACGTTTCAGCAAGGTGGCTGCAGGACCAAGCCGTCGGCATGGCACGGTTGTGCAGCTGAGCAGTGGTGGGGCAAGACACGGTGACAGGATGGAATGGAAATTGCACCAAACTGGAGACATCCCAGTCAGTAAGAGGCTGGTCCCCGCCCGGCTGGTTTCTTCCCGATGAGCTGCAGGTCTTTGGTGTCAGTAGGAGCAATTTCTGCTGGTTCAGTTGAGTATAATTAGACATATAAAAGACTTGGGACGTTGTCTATGAAAAATGAGGCAAGAGAAGGATTTTGTGCCTGGAAAGAAGGCAGAGAATCGTCTTTTTCCTCTTTGCCATGTGTTTCTCTAGGACAACCCAGTAGGGCTTTTTTTTCCCCTCCCTCTTTTCACATTCATCAGCACCTATCCCTCCTTTTTTTTTTTTCTTTTTTTCTTTCTTGCGAAACTTGAGTTCATTGCATATCCATTTGGATATCAAAATTTTAAATGAGTGACGCAAAAAAAAAAAGCTACTTCCCTTCCACTTGCCTTTAGTAGGAGCTTTCCAGAGACAAGGAGATGCGCATCGCAACATTTTTATACGTGGTTTTGATTTCTGATTTCCCCCCCCCCAAAAAAATTTTTTAACCCAATGAAGTAGGGATGACCATACCAGTAGTGGACTTGCATGTCTCAGCTACTTTCCATGACCCATGAGTGCATCCAGCTTTGCACCGAGGCCAACGCATAGCTGATGGCAGGGGCAGGGTAGCTGCAGAGTATTCCAAAATCTGCAACCGAGCAAAGTCTTCATGCTCCTTCCTCTTGGCCTCCCGCTTTTGCTTCACGTGACAGCTCCTCACACAAGCCATCAGTGGCAATCCCATTTGCACTATAGTTTCTTATATTCTGCAGAAATCATACTTTGCGGAGTGGGTTTAGAGGCAGGAAGGATCATCCATAGCTGGTAAGGGGTTGGCAGATAATTCTCAAAACGGGAGCAGGAGATGGGAAGCCCACCGCTCTGCACCCCTGCAGCATTTGACGGGCTACATTTAAGCTTTCTTAGCCTCCCTTGGAAGCTGCTGTTCAGGGTTTACATGGAACTGTTTGAAGGCAACAAAACCTGGGGCTTGGCTTAGCTGCTGTAGTGGTACAATTAGGAGAGGCGGTGGCTGGTGGATGGAGCCGCTGACTGAACGGATCTCCAGGCTGGTTTTTTTGGAGCGGCTGGAGTTTGTTGTGTCTTGTTCAAGTAAAGCTGCTGGTGGGTTTTAGCCCCTTTAGGTCATGTTGTTGCTTCCTCCTTTTCAGAAGGCGAGCAAGACCCACCTGGTGTAACAGGGAGACTCTCTCAAACATCTACATGTATTTGAGATGGGGAAAAAAAAAATGCTAAGTTATGGTTGACTTTGTAAACTAATTTTAATTCAACCTGCGGTGACCCCATAAGGGCAGTCATAGCAGATGAGTGCAAGGAGAACATTGTCTTCACTGCTCGTAGGAAACTGTCCTTGAGTGATCCCACTGCTTGAGCATTGGCCAATGCATCGAAGTGGTGGCAACGGCCATCTGACGAGAGGACAACCCCCCCCCCCAAAAGCTGACGCAGCTCTTGGCAAGCCTGTGCCCCTATACCTTCCGCTTTTCATGTCGGGTGATAGAGGTTTCCCTTAGCTAGCGCTCAGCATCGCCTTCAGGTTGAACGTGTCTGTGAGCTATCAGGAACAGGGTTGCATGAATACAGTAATTAATTTCTTGGCTTTCTGAATTAAGATAGAAAATAATTTCTTGTTGGACTGAAATGGTTTTTCTCTCTTTTTATGGGAAGAAAGGATACAGAAACACTAATTTTAGCTCAGTGACAGTTTGCATTGTGCCCCAGACTGATGTATCTTGTTTAAAGAAAAAGTTATTTAAGATGTTGAAAGACAACCTTTTGAATCTTTTAATTCTTTTCACCCTTTTGCTAACGATTATTTACTGAATTTGATCTGAATTTCCCATTGATTTAAGCTTTCCAAGTCTGTTTTTGAAAAATTATTTATGAGAGAGGATAAAAAAGCCATCTGATTTCCCTCTTGCCCATCAAACTACAGCAGCATCTTGAGGATGGCAGCACTTTTAGTGTGATTTCATTTTATATTCAGCTTTCATTCATCGACAGCTTATCATGGGCTAGCTGCAAACCTGAACACTTTGCTTTATAGATGTTTATGAACACACTAGTAGAAGGTGGATAAATACAAGAAACTTATCAACCTACTGAGCTCTGTAAGGACCTGTAGTAATTAAGCACAAGCACTTACTAAAGCAGCTGGTAATGACTTACAAAGCACTTACATTTAGAACTTTAATTATAAATTATTGATGTATTGCTGAGGAGGGGAGTTACGTAGCCAGTAAATGACCTGGCCTCTGCTACTACAATTATGAGTATTTCTGCATACTTTTAGAACTGGTGACCTCGGAAAAAGCCATCATTCCTTAGTGACAGGCAGGAATAAACACATTGGAGTAACTGGCCATATGCGGAGCTCAGCCTCAGCCGGTGCAGCAGATGAAGACGTCTTCTGGGTGAATGGATGCTCCCAACATCTGGTATCTAAAAACCTAAAACTAAAGAGTGTATTTTTTTGCTGAGAGGCCCAACAAGGGCGAGACTGCGCAGCCCACAAGGTGACAGTGATGGAGGAAACTGCTTCTGCATTGCAGGCACCGCAGGGACCAGGATAAGGGCTCGAGAGCCATTGAGGTGCAGGAGATGAAACCTGGGAAGATCCTGTGGAGGTTACCCAGGGAACAAATTTGCAGGGAGGGTGATGAACATGGCTCAGTGAACCGTGTAGCCCAAGGTAACAGCCCGGGGTTATTCCCTGCTTTTTTGCCTGGCTCTGGCTTTATTTGAAGTTCTACGGATGAAACAGCCAAAGCTAAGCTGTTTTTGTTCTGAGTGATGGCTAATGCATTTTGAA